CAAACTTGCGACATGGGGCAGTGTGGCGTTTCAGGCATGAAAAGCAGTTTAATGCTTGTATACCCACCACGATGTCAAACAATTTGGAACATATTTTACTCCGAAGACATTCACAGTCTGATCAAGCGTGAAAACTGAGACTGTATAGAATCCTTCAGGCAATTGAAATAGAATTGAAATGCAAATTGGAGAGAAAGCTAGTAATGAACAAAGAACCTCCTGTAAATCCCTGCAGGTGAGCCGAAATCTAACGGCTTCTATAATTTGAAATTATAATACAGTGAAGAACATGTTAAAAGATGCATGTCAGTGCTGCAAGACATGACAATTATAAAAATAACATTACTGACTAGGGGTTCCATACTGGAAGTGAAGTGCTGCCCCATGTAGAAAGATAATGGGTGTAAAGACATGAAGATATCACATGGATACGAGCGCACTAACCATGAGGCCACTGCACCTCCACCGGGGGGTCCAAAGTTGGTTCAGATGCCACCAAGAGGAATAAGCAAGACAGTGCAAGAGGAAAATACATGCCATCTGACAGGGTGCGGGAAAAAATAACAAAATATGCGGGAATTTTCGGGGGAAAATGCGAAAAATGCGTCGATTATGCTGAACACACTGGATTATGTGGAAATTTTAACAGTTCACAAAATTGATAATAAAGCCTTTCCAATGTACCGAACAACAGTGAAACGAAAAGCACTTCAAAGTCTTGCCCACATTTTAAGCTCTTTAATAGAATAAACTTAAACAACTTAAACTTAAACATCATGCCCGCCAACTTTGACACACGGCTTGATCTGTTTCTACTATTTGTTGACAGGTATTTCTTCATTTAACATAGGTTTTTCGTAGAATTCGTTGTTGCGTTCTTCGTTACATATTGCACAATGAAAAACTAGTTTTCAGGCTGTTCGCCTAAAGTAGGTTGGAACGCCTGGACATTAAAAATTCATCACGAACGAAATGGCGTGTTTTCAAAATAATCAATCTCGATTCTTCGAACGCTTCCCTTTGAATCAACGAATATACTCCCTTCGAACGCTTCCCTTCGCATCAACGAATGTACTCAACGAACGGTCAAGCTACGAGGTCACAGATCACAAATTTACCAGTCGCAGACTTTCTAAGCAGTGGGGCCTGGGAATCGCTAACAAACGGATAACCTGAGGTTGAGATATCAGGACAGAAATAGGAGGCTGCCCTATGCGGGCTGCAGTTTATTAAATAAAAAAGTTGGCATGTGTGACCTTATGTAGAGGGGCTTGTTGACTTTACTGGAGGGAAATAAATCTTTTCAATGACCTAAGTCATTCATCTGCGTGGGACGAAATTTGCAAAGAACTGTAAATCGTTTGATAGTTTTTCTGTGAAACAGACGGACCTTCCCTCCAGACGAATTACCCGCGGTATAGTTGGTCTGTGAAGACGACCTATATTGATAATCCCTGGAGGGGGGACCTCCATATAAAAGGGACGGGGGTGCACGTTGGAAATTTTGGAAACAAACCCTAAGAGGTACCACGACGCCGTTCTGTGGGCGTGGCTAAACGTTTTTTTCACCGCTAATAGGTGCCAATTTTGAAACAACAGATTTACTGACACTTTCATAATTTTAAATAGCGATAACGAAGATTGCTTCGAATACCCTCTACTCGTAAAAATTATGAAAGCGTTGTCATAGATCTCTATCATACCCTAAAAATTATTAAAATTATTAAAGGTACCGCGAAAGCTCCCATTGTGGACCTTTTGATGCTGCACACCCTAAGAGGTACCAAAATCACTTTTGAACCCCTAAAAGGTAGGATGAGCACCCCCTTCCTTTTTAAATGGGATTGCCCCCGGGTTGATAGTTCGTCTGACTAGATGATCCGTCTGTTTGCCCGTATGAATTGAATGAATTATCGGACGAACTCCCGTTCTTTACCCAAGTTCGTCTGATGATCCGGCTCTAGTAGTATAAACGCGACCATTGTTTAAGAGGCTCTTCTCGGTATTTCAGATACATATCACCGTACTTTCAACTGCCGATGCTTCACTGTGTAAACGTGCTCGGGAAAGCTGCTTCACACATTTATCTAGGACTGACTGAAGATTTCAAAAACGCAGGTCTGATTGACTGCGGTGTTGCCGATGTTAGCGACTATCTATTCACCTGGATCTCCTGAGAGATCTAAACTTTCAAAAAAACTCCGCTTGCCAACAGAAATTCTGTAATCTTCTCGACCAAGCGGCCACTCTCCTCACATTCCAGCCTCATCCTTCCCTCCCTCTCCGTTTCAGCCGACCGTAGCGTGAGTGTCTTCTTCCGCTCATCAGGAAGCTAGGAATCCGAGTTGCTTATTCTGAGGTATCTCTCAGTTTTCTCTCCGAAATCCTAGGCTGTAAGGATCGAACACCAGTTATTTCTCATTCAGCTCAGTTCAGAATTTGCGAGTAATCTTCAAGCATGAATGATCACCCAAATTATTCTCTTAAATTCCACTTTCTATAGTTTAAGGCTAAGTAAAAGCCTAATACTAGAGAGGGGATATTTGATGTAGAAGCCCGGCAAAGCCGGAGTTTTCGGTCATTTTCTGCACGCTGCTTGGGGGTTTGAGCGACCTCTGCTCTCTCTTTCGTTGCCCGACTTCTGGGCAGATCTAACAGTACTTGCATTTTTCTCTGAGCCGCTGTTTTAACTAAAATACACAAATTCTTGAGGTTATATAATCATTATAGTCATTAGTTCATGAAATGAATTTCAATTTAATAAATGTTGCATGACGGCTTTTTATGAAGTCTTGTTCAAGAAGCTTGAAACACGAACGACTAAACTATAGCTTATTTCTTTAATTAGTAGTATCAGTTTGATGCTGTCGTCTTAGCAATGACTAAACATCTTTTATTAAAAAAAAAAAAAAGCGTAACGCGTGCGCAAATAGGATAAGTCTGAGACCCCGTCCACACGTATCCGGCTATTTTTGAATCCGCAACTTTTTCTTTCCGGATACGGCTTCCGTCCACACGCATCCGGCGAACTCAGCAGAGGATCCGGATATTTTTTAATCCGCTCTCCAGAGTAGAAAAAAATAAATCCCCAAACAATCCGATAACGTGTGGACGGTGAATCCAAATATTTTCGAATCCGATGACGTAGCAAAATCGTGTCCTGTCTCAATAACCCTATCCCTAACCCTAACCCTAACCCGAACAATAAACCAATATGGCGGCACAACGTGTAGGCCTAGTTTCTCTAGAGTAAATCCGGATACCATCGGATGCGTGTGGACAGGCGAATTCGATTTGAATACGCTACGTGTGGACGGGAAAAGTTTTGAATCCCGAAAGAAAAAGTCGCCGATTCAAAAATATGCGGATACGCGTGGACGGGGCCTGAGCTTTTCGTTCGGTATTTGCACTTTTTGCTGTTAAGGAGTAATTTAAT